CGAAAGAAAGCGACAGGAACACAGACGTATCCCACTGCTGAACAGATGCAAGGACACCCGAGAGCTGAAGGAGGAGACTAAGGCAGTGGGGATGACACCTCGTCACAACATTGAGGTGTCCACCTACCCTGAGGCTCAAGTCTCCGTTGACTGTGCTCTCAATCCACCCGAGCACCCCGAAGCATGAACTCCACCCTCCTCTTCCACACCAACACTTTCATTTGTGCCCTCGGGAGTAAACTATTATTTTGGGCCAGAATAAGCTTTAACATTCCTGCTGCTCTGACTTTGCTCAAACTGATCATCTACCGGGAATAAAAATGTCTTTTCGCTGAACTCTTAATGGGCAAATTCTACGTTTCCTAAAAACCCATACCTTCCATCAAACTCAACTCAAAAATGTGATTATACCAGCTGACATAGTCTCCCAAATTTAGATCTTCTATTAATTTAATGAAAAGTATTTCTCCTTCATTTCAAATATGTTCTCTCTCCTCTTTGATCGGTAAGCAGCTTGAGGTCCTGGTTTGAGCCTTCCTATTTCCCATCCCACACAAAGAACAGGTGTCCAGTGGCCAGCTGAACAAATGAGGGAGGCCTGCCTTTTGATAAATGTTCTGAGTTTCATCTCTACCACTGTAAAGGAGAATTCATAAGGCCTTTTTTTTTTTTTTACCCAAACTGAATGATTAGATTTAACCCAGTTCTTGTTGAATTAGAATGTTCTTTTAATTTAACTGCCAGCTTGGGACTAAATGATTGTGCTCCTCATGCGCTCCTATCATCTATTCATGTTAATTGCTAGAAGTCATAAATAAATAAATGAATATCTCATCTATAGTCAAGCCAGTATGGAAGGGATACACCCCAAGAAAGAGGGTTTTAACTTTGATACTTTGAATAACATGGCCTTAAAAAACAGTCCTTTCCTAATACCGGTACCAGAACTCCCCAAATTCACTGCCATTGAGGTGGTTCCGTGAGTCACCTGACAGGACAATGCAGAACTGCCCCCTGTGAGTTTCCAAGACTGTCACTCTCCCCAGAGGTAGAAAGGAGTGTCTTTCTCCTGAATGGACCAAGGGGTTCAGCAAATAGCAGTTTCCACAACCCTGAGTCCAAAACTAGATGATGCCTAGCTACCACTATCAAGTGCTCTCAAAATATAACATGAGAAGGTCATTGATAAAGTGGGAGAAAAACCTGGAACGAAACCCAAAACTCTTTTTTTAAGCACGGAGCCTTACTGGTTGACTAGACAGGTGGGATTCATGAGACTACAGCCCTAATCACCCTCAGGTCTGGAGCTGAACTTACACCTGTTAAAATAATCAGCTGTTTAAGACCAGAAGGGTGGCATCTACCCACCAACAAAGTTCAGAAGGTTAGGAAGGAAGGAGACGTGGAAACAAACACAGGGAGAAAGCTGGGTACGTGACAGTGCACTGGAGGGACTGCAATGGATGAATTGCAGGAAAGAGTGTGTGAATGATTAAGTGGAAAACTGATGTTCTGCTCTGTAAACCTTCAACAACTTCACAACAAAAGTTCGAGAAAAGAAATATACCTTGCATGATAAGAATATAGAAACAAAGCCTCAAAATAAAACAATTAAAAAAACAACAACAACCTTGAACTGTCAACATTTTAAAGTCTCCTAAATTGCCAAGATGATTTCCATTGGGCAAGCCTTGGCTTTAATTCTCTTTAACCAGTTCCAGCCTCCAAGAATGCCTTCCATCGACTTTCACATTTTTATGGCCTGTTCCGAAAAGTATATATTATAAGCATTCTGATATTATACTGTAAATTTTGCAGCCCCACTGAAAAACTTTCTCCATCCTGAACCATTCTGACTTGTGACCTCAGCCAAACATTAACCAAGCAGATAACGGTATTATAATACCTTTGTTTCACAAACTACATCTGTCTAAAAAAATGTTCAGTTGAAGTCATCAGCCCTCACTTAGTTGACTGGATGGTGTCTTCCTACAGCTGGAGGCAATCATTTTCTTTTTCTTTTTCTGAATAAATTCTCTTAAATTCATTTTTCATAGGCTGAGTAAATTCTTCCCTATAATACCATCTAATGCAACACAAACAAATTGCTCTGCAGGGTCGAAGTATTTACCCAAATAATCCTTACAAATTCTGTAACTTGAAACCTTTGTCAAAAGAAAAATTGAAGCTATTTTAAATTCTTTCTCAGATAAATGTCTTTTTATCCATTCCACCCAACATGCCTAGAAAGGGCACAAGACAAGGAATGATCTCAAAGTAAATACATCCTTAGAAGACTAAAAGAGCTCAGGGTGGTTCATGCGCTTGGCTGGCGGCCAAAAGGTTGCATGTTCAAACCCACCAGCAGCATGTCAGGCCAAAGGCCTGGTGATCCATTGCTAAAATACTAGCCAGTGGAAACCTTACAGATCACAGTTCTGCTCTGACACGTGTGGGGCCACTGGCAGCTGAGGGGTTTGTTGTTGTTGTTGTTGTTGTTTGGTTTTGGCTTTCTTTCTTGAGAAAATTAAAACTCTGCTCCGCAAGAAAGATTTAACAAAGTGGACTTCTAAAAGGAATAGCAATCGCTCTTTAATCTTCTTATTGTAATATGACAAGTGGAATAGCCATCCTCTACTCTTAATCAGTTGGAATATCTCTTGACTATTATTGTTTGTTATTTAACTGTAAAGGAAGGGGAAAGAATATGGGCCAGGGTTAGAAAGCCTTTCATCAGAAGACAGTAGACTGTTAAACAATGACTGTTTCTAATCACTAATGACAAAACACGAAACTCACGGCCATCCAGTCGGTGCCAACTCATAGCAAGCCCGTAGGGCAGAGTGTCGTTGCCCCTGTGAGGTTCCTAGACTTTAGATCTTTAGGAGAGCAGACAGCCTTACCTTTCTCTCATGGAGCAACGGGTAAGTTGGAAATACTGACCTGGCAGTTTGCTAACTGGATAGCCCACCACACGAGCAGGGCTCCTTAGTGATGACCAACCCAGAATAGAATCAGCACTCTGAGATACTGCTTCTTTGTTTCTGATGTTGGATCAGGGTTCAGTCAACTTTGTGAGTTAGACCTATTCAATCCTGTACACATGCACACACACACACACACACACACACACACACACACACAC